GGCTCCTGGGTGGCTCAGTAGATTAATCATCCGACATCAACTCAGATCATGATCTCACAGTTCATGGGTTTCAAGCCCTGTGTCAGGCTCTGTGCTGACAGCTCAGACCTGGACTGCTTCAGATTCTGTGTCACCCTCTCTCTCCCTGCCCCTCCCTGCCCTCACACTCTGTCTCTCTGTCTCTGTCTCTGTCTCTCAAAAATGAATAAACGTTAAAAAAATTTTTTTTTAATTTCTTTGCTATTCTCATCTGATTTCTTCCAAGTAAATATGCAAAGATTTTAATTAGTCCTAAGACATTCTTTTAACATTTTATTTAGATTTCATTAAATATCAAAAATACTGAGTAAAATTGGCATTTATTTTGCAATTATATGTCTATTCTTTTTGGAATATGTTATGTCTTATCTAGAAACAAGTTCAAGTCTATTTCAATCAAGTGCTGAAGTTTTCTTTATATAGTCCCTTTTCATTTGTTGTTAAATTTATTCCTAGGCATTTATATTTACTATAAAAGGATATTTTTACTAAAATTATGTCTTCTCTCTTAATTGACATAATAATAGAAAAGCAACTGATTTGTGTATATTTATTTATAACCAATCTCTTTGTTGAAATCTTTATTTTTCTAATATTTTTTCATGTGACTCTCATGGGTTTCATAACTATGTCATCAAATAATGGTAATTTTGTTGGGATACTTGATCAGATTTTTGCTTCCTTACTTATTTCATAGGCTATAATAATAACAACTATGTTAATTTTGGGGGTAGTTTGAAGTAGTTATTCTACGCCTTGTTAAGCAAGAATCTTTCTGTTCTTACTTTATTAGGTAGATAGGAATGTAGATAGATGATAATGGTTTTCAATTTTGTCAAATGTCTTTTGGTGTCTTTTAAAGATTATTTAAAAATTTGATAAAGCCTCATTTGTAAGATACATTATCCTAGTAACCTTCCAAATACTGAATCAGTGTTACTTTTTCCTGTTTAATAATACATTATTCTTTTATTATACCATTAAAATCATTTTGCTGATATTTTAGGGAGAAAAAAACACTCACATTTATGGCTGTCTCTCATATTTTAATATCAACTTTATTTAGCTCTTTCTCTGTGCTAGTAAAATTACTACTTTTGAAAAAATTTGATAATTTCTCTTTTCCCAGGAAATTATCAAAGTTATCGATATTTTAATTTCATTCCTGTAGAATATTGCATACTATTTTTTACTCCATATAAATAACTTATTTCATTTCCAGCTTTTAACTATCTGTATTTTTGTTTTGGCTTTATTGAGGTATAGTTGACCACAAAGCTGTACTATATATTTGATGTGTACAACTTGATGTTTTGATATATATATGCATTGTAAAGTGATCACCACAATAAAGCTATAACATAGCCATCACCTCAAATCATTGCCTTTATTTTTGCTTGTCATAAGAATAGTTAAGAATTATCTTTTTAGTAAATTTCAAGTACACAATAAACTATATTCACCATGCACTCACCAGGTTCTGTACTATAGTCACCATGCTATACATTAAACCTCCAGAACTTACTGATCTTGCATAGCTGGAACTTGTGTCCTTTTGCCAATATCTCTTCATTTCCCCTATCTCCCACCCCCAACCTCTGGCAACCACCATTCTACTCTGTGCTTCTGTAAATTCAACTATTTTAGATTCTAAATAAATATGAGGTCATGCAGTATTTGTCTTTCTGTGTCTGACTTATTTTACATAGCGTAATGTCCTCTGGGTCCATCCATGTTGCTACATATGTCAGAGTATTCTTCTTTTATAAGGATGAATAATATTTCATTGTATATTTTTTATCCATTCCTCTCTTGACAGACATTTAGGTTCTTGTTATATCTTGGCTATTGTGTATAATATTGCAATGAACATGGAAGTGCAGATATCTCTTTGAGACACTGGTTTCATTTCCTTTAGATAAATAACCAGAATTGAGATTGTTGGATTATATTATAGTTCTAGTTTTAGTCTGGGGAAGAATCTCTATAATATCTGTACCAATTTACATTCCCACCAACAGTGTACAAGAATTCCCTTTTGTCCACATCCTCACCAATACTTGTTATCTTCTTTCTTTTTGGTAATAGACATTCTAACAGGTTTGAGATGATATTTCATTGTGGTTTTTATTTGAATTTTCCTGATGACTTGATGACCAATGATGTTGAGCACATTTTCATATATCTTTTGGCCTTTCATATATCTTCTTTTGAGAAATGTCCTTTTCCCATCTTTTAATCAGGTTATTATTATTTTTTTTTTTTGCCATTTTTGAGTTGTAGGAGTTCCTTATGTATTTTGGATATGAATCCCTTATCAGATATGTGGTTTGCAAATATTTTGTTCTATTCTGTAGCTTGCTTTTGTCACTCAGTTAATTATTTCATTATATATACAGAAGCTTTCTAATTTGATACAATCTCAATCATCTAATTTTGCATTTGTTGCCTGGCTTTTGGTTGTCTCATATCTAAAAATCACTGCCCAGGTTACTGTTAAGACACTTTCTTCCTATGTTTCCTTCTATGAGTTTTAAGTTTTAGGTCTTACATTTAAGTTTTTAATCCATTTTGTGTTGATTTTTGTATATGGTGTGAGACAGAGGTCCAATTTCATTCTTCTACATGTGACTATCCAATTTACCTATCACCAGTTATTGAACAGACTATCCTTTCCTCATTGGATGTTCTTGGAACTCTTATATACCATCAATTGACTGTAAATGTATAGATTTATTTCTGAAATTTCTGTTCTGTTCCATTGATCTAATTGTTTTAATGCCACTATCATATTGTTTTGATTACTGTAGCTTTGTAACATATTTTGAAATCAGAAAGCATGATGCCTCCAGCTTTGTTCTTCTTGCTCAAGATTGCTTTGACTATTTGGGGTCTTTGTGGTTACATGTCAATTTTAGGATTGTTTTTTCTATTCCTGTAAATAATTCCATTGGAAAAAAAAAAGAATACCGTTGGAGTTTTCATAGGGATTGCATTAAATCTGTAGATCACTTTGGGTAGTATGGGCATTTTAACAATGTTAATTCTTCTAATACACAAACAAAAGATTTCTTCCCATTAATCTATGTCTTCTTTAATTTCCTTCCTCACTGTTTTGTAACTTTCAGCATATAAATATTTTACTTCTTTGGTTACATTTCTTCCTAAGTATTCTGTTATTCTCATTGCTATTATAAATGTCATTGTTTCTTAATATCTTTTTCAGAGAGTTCATTGTTTGTGTATAGAAATGCCACTGATTTTTGCATGCTGATTTTGTATTCTGCAACTTTACTGCATTGCTTTATTACTTCTAACAGCTTTTTTTGTTTAGTCTTTAAGATTTTCTACATATATGATCTTATCATCTGCAGACAGATATTTTGACTTCTTCCTTTCTGGTTTGGATATTTTTTATTTCTTTTTCCTGTATAATTGCTTTGGCTAAGGCTTCTAGTACTATGTTGAATAGAAGTGGTGAGAATGGGCATCTTTGTCTTCTACCTTTGTAGTACTGGAGTTACATCCTCAGGGGGATAGGCTGCTTTCAGGAATGTAGACAGGACAACAGTTGGTTAGCCAATCACTGAGAACAGCCCTGTCTCCTGAAAGTATTATTCAGTCTTAGGTTCTGTCACAGTTACACAACAAGGATCCCAAAGCTCCCACAAAGGTACGTTGTTCATGGATGGCTGCCAAATTGTTGTTGCTATGAGAAGACCTCCTATTCCTTCATGTTGCTGATACCACTTCCTTTATCTGTATTTATATGTAAAAGTTTTATTTTTCCCTAGTCAGATTTACCAAGAAATTGCTTTCTAAACAAACTAGCTGAATATTTGATTTAATTATTAGTTCTGTTTATTTTGTGACTTAAATTCTATATTTATACATAATTTTTAAATTAATTTTATTAAGGTTGCCTTTTACTTTTGATAAACTTGTAATTTAGGGGAAAAGTCACACTTATACATAAAAGATAATCACTAAAAGGTGTTGTAAACAACCCAGGATCAAGTTATGTTCCCTAAATGATGAGAGGGAAGATTGTGTAATTATTTTTTCCTCATTTCAATGCCCAACAAAAGGATTTCATTTAAGTCCAGCTGCAAAATTTCCATAGACCACACTTGGCAACAGATAACTTAGAATAACATAAGATAGAAAATATGTCTTGCCAGCAGGGTAGTGTTAATTATTTTTCTTCAGTGAGAGTTTGACTTACAACATTCATTTAGAATATAGGTCAAATGCAGGGGCACCTGGGTGACTCAGTCAGTTAAGCCTTGGACTTTGGCTCCTTTGGCTCAGGTCATGATCTCAGGGTTCCTGAGTGGGAGCCCCACATCAGGCTCTGCGCTGACGGCTCTGAGCCTGGAGACTGCTTTGCATTCTGTGTCTCCCTCTCTCTCTGTCCTACTCCACTCACACTCTGTCTTCCTCTCTCTCTCAAAAATAAAATAAAAAAACATTTAAAAAGATAGAATATAGAACACATGCAAGGAGACAATACCTATATCAGGTGAGTAGAAAAACCTACCTGGCTTAGAAGCCTAATAACCTCGTGTTAGAAGCCAATATCTCTCGTAATAACTAAAAAAGTGTAACTTCCAGGTCCCCAAAGAGACAAGTCCAAGAATTACTGCACTCAGAGAAGCTCAAAGACATGGCTTCTTTTCATATATTTATTGTTTTCCCAGTCCAGATGAGATTTACTACTATAAGCTATGTTGCCTGGAAACATAAACAACATTCTAACTTTATCTCATTTCCAAGAGAACAGAGCTTTAAATTAGCCAAAAGCCAAATTCTCATTCAGAATATGTATGTAGAAATATAGGTCCTACCATGTTTTTATACAACTAAATATACACAAATGTAATATTTTTTGCCTTGTCTGTATAACTTAAAATTCCAAACTTAAATCCTATTTTCTGCTTTTATTCTCCATATTTTCACAGGTAAAATATGGAAATTATGCGTTTGTATGGGATGCAGCTGTATTGGAATATGTGGCTATCAATGACCCAGACTGTTCATTTTACACCATTGGAAACACCGTTGCTGATCGGGGATATGGAATTGCATTGCAACATGGCAGTCCTTACAGGGATGTTTTTTCACAAAGGTAAGATTTGTGTGTGGTCCAAATAAGGAGAGACAAAAAAATAGAAAAAGAAAATCTACTTGATTACCCATTTAGTTTTATTACATTTTGTTTTCTTTGTTTGGAAAAGCATAATAAACAACAATAATAAAAGGTAGTTATAAATGTTATTAAATGACACATTCATTTCCTAAAGCATGTACTGATGTATTATTTTTTCCATAAAAAGGGAGAAATATTGCTGCATATGACTGGTTTTACTCTTTAAAAATTGATATGCAAAAGAAAGCAGTATGTTAATAATTTTTTTAGAACTTAATTAGCAGTTTAGTCTCTGAATTTTTAAGGACTAAGTGTTGTAGCAAAATGAATTCATTCCTATGAATACTAAACCATAAAATAAACTTCAGGACAAAGTTAAATGTACTTAGGACTGGTCTGATGTATTGAAGCACATAATGATAGGATCTTTCCATCTGAATTTCACAAAGGAAAAGAATAAGAATTTTAGCCTTCCTCACTTGGCATCAAAGTATATGAGACTTTGTCACGGAATTAAGGAGATGGTAAATTAAGAAATTATATTCATCCTCAAATTCAAGTTTTCTTTTATAAATTTTTTTTAAAAGAAAAGATTTTGAAATGTGTATTTTAGATTAACAGTGTGTATTGAAAGACCTGGGCCTGAGAAGCACTCCCAAAGATCACTGCATTTCATTCTATCTACTATCAAACAAGTGTGGACCTAAGAGATTGCAGTAGCTTTTGGGTAGAAGTATATTTCATTTGACATTGATACTGCATTTTGTTTATTTTCTAGATATTTTGCTACCTATTTTCTAAAAACCAATGCCAGACCAAGAGGGCAGTACCAGGTAGTACTATGGCCCCAAATTTCAAACTATTTGGGTTGCATTCCTCCAGATTTTAGGATAACAAAAAGCTAGGTATTTTCATTAAAAAAACAAAAACAAAATTAAGTCAGGAGTCCAGAATTGATGTCCAAACTCTCCCATCAGCTGACAAAAAATCTAGGCCTCTCTCCTTATCTACAGAAGAGGAAGTTTGACAAACTCCAAGGTCTGTGTTAGACAGGTTTTCTGTGTAATAAACAAGCCCCAGAGTACCAGTGACTTTTTGCATTCATGAAACATAAGGCTGTGATTGGGTGAAGGTCTGCAGTGGGCTGCAGGTCAACTTCTCATTCCAGGGCCAGGTTGGAGACGTGGCCCTATCTGGGACAACCTGTTTTCACAGCAATGAGAAGTTGCAGAAGAGGCTGCCAGAAACCTGCAGTGCTGCTTGTGCTTTTTAATTGGTTGTGGCATATACCACATCTGCCACAAACCACTCAAGAAAAAGAGTCTCATGGCCAAGCCCAGAATCGATGGGGGTGGGGAACTGTACTTCACATAAAGGGAAGAAATAAGTAAATAATTATGACCAAACGTACAACCTACCAGTGGCCCTTTATGGCTCTGAAAACATCAAAAATGACAAAAATGAAATAAGAATAAGTTAGGAGGTAAAGTACTTATGTATAAAAAATGATTAATCAGTTAAAACACCTTTATTGATGAGTAGATTCTAAGGGGAACAAACTGGAAATCAGTTATGCTGTAGAGATCTTACCTGGAAGACACTTACAGTCTAGTTGAAGATTCATGGCCCATGCACATGAAACAATGAACAATAGAGACATTTCTAGAACTGTGTGCTGACATTTACATATATACAGTATCAGTATTGCATCTTTATATTGCACTGAGTTGTGTAGCTGAGATATTGAAAGAATTGAATACTATACAGAATGAAGAGTTAATCAAAGGAAACATGAATGGAAGTTCTCCAGAAAAGGTGAGCTCTGAATTTGACCTTGAAGGATTAGTAGAGAATAGTTAAGCTGAAAGGAAAACATAGATAATTCTTGGAGAAATGATGAAGACAACAGGGTAGAAGTAGGAGAGAGGAGAATATGTTGAGAAGCAACAAGGCCAGCAAGTTAATTTGAAAGGAAATTCGAAGTTTGGAAGTCGTATTGTAGACCACAAGCAGCTGTGAAAACCTATAGCCCATTCTAGAGCCCGAGGGGAAAATGAAGCAGGGGTATTTAAGGCAGGGTTGATCTAGTTTTGAGCTGAAGGATGGATTAGGATTGACAAACTAGAGCAAACCTGGAAGCATGAGACAAGGAAGGCATAGTTCATAACTGGGCAATGGAGAATGAGGAGGAAGGAGCAAATAGAAGAGATACCTTAAAAAAAATTAATGTTGATTTATTTTTTAGAGAGACAGAGACAGAATGTGAGTGGGTTGGGGCAGAGTGAGAGGGAGATACAGAAACCCAAGCAGACTCCAGCCTCCAAGCTATCAGCACAGAGCCTGACACGGGGCTCTGACTCACGAGCTGTGAGATCATGACCTGAGCTAAAGTCAGATGCTCAACCAACTGAGCCACCCAGGTGCCCCTAGAAGAGATACTTCTAAGCAAAGAGGCACACCGTTGTTTTTACTAATTTAGAAGTGAGGATGGAAAGCGTAATAGAATGAAGGAGATGCCGGGGTTTATGAAAAGTCTAATGGATACTTACCATGAACCATGTAGTTGAGAAAAGGATTATTTATTCCATAGTTGTAGCTAATTGGGCTTTTCTTTTTGTTTCCTGAACTGATTTCTGGGTCTTTTATGCAAAAGAAGAAGCCAATAAAATCAATACACAAACATAATGGCAACTAAAGAAATAGTTAATAAATCACACTAAGTGTTCCATTTCTTATTATCCCTGTGGCGCTTTACCTAAGAGAGATTTTTAATTCTGAGAAAATACAACCCAGTGAACTGCTGAAAAACAATACTAAGCATTGAGCATTATTTTTCCTTTGATTTGCATTATGGATGTTGGCAATTTAAATTGTCCCTTTCTGTGGAGCTCCTAAATAATGACCTATGTATCCTGGTTTCCTGGACATCTGAAAGAAGAGAGATCTAGGAAAGAAACATGATCTGGCGACTGTTGATGTGCCAGTGCATCCATTTATACACATGTGCCACATTAATCTATTACCCTAACTCCCTCCCTGAATTCAGAAAATATGTGCATTCATTCTCTTGTGCTGTGGCCATTAGGGAAAAGATATCTCTTTTTTATTAACTGATTTAAAAAATTATAGACCATAAAATTTAATCATTGTAGTACACCTTAGAAATTATTATAAACAACTTTAATACATCAACTTATCCTGGGCTCTTGATTATGCTAGATCACTGATTGCTACTATAATTATTTTCAATGAAAATGATAGCATTCAGGGTGATTTTTATATGAAGTAAATGCTAATTTCTTCTCAAGTATCTATACACCTATACCATGACTTATAAGATACCAAAGTATTCAAATATGTAATAAATATTAATATCTAATAAATATTATATATTGATATAGTAACTACATATATTATGCACTATCTGCCAAGTATCTTATATGCTTCTATACTTTAATGACACTTCAAAACAATCACATGAAATGCTCATTTGCTTATTGTATGTTTGCATATTAGTGCACAACTATTATACTACAAGTGAATGCGCTGAATGGATGGCCTGAGCTTTGGCAAATGTTAGGTTAAGCATCAGAAACACAGGCTATAGGGATCTACTCACTTTACAATTGTATGATTGTAGACACACTCAGGAATGACTGTTAAGGACCAGTAAATGCTACAGTATATATAATCATAGAATCAGATTGAGGAGTTTTGTTTCCCTGTCTGCACAAATAATAGATAACTTGGCAGCAGAAGCTGAAGTATTTATGCAATCTCATCAGATAGGCCAGAGTTCTAGTGGGTGAGTGATGTTTGCAGTGAATTCTCTGACACCATTTCATCGAATGCCTATGTGGCCCTTGTCTTGTAATAGGTCTTTGTATACAAAAATTATTTAGTCAAAAGCTGTTACATTAAAAACATTTAAGAGTGGAAGAGAGCTGAATTTTTCAGTGATATTATTATTCTTTTAATAAAATAAACTCCAGTGTTGATTTCAGAATCTTAACCATTCATAACTAAAAAATGATTTAAAAATATTTATTGAGCATTTAGTATGAGCTCATCTCTGTTCTCAAATCTTAGCATATACCAAGGAGTAATTAACTCATAAGTTTAATGTTATACTTCATCAATAAAAAAGTCCCTTTTTTGCCTATTGGCTTCTATCTCTAAACTTTAGGAATGAACCACCTAGTCACACAAAAACAAGGACATATTTCAAGTTGTATGGAGAATGATTTTGTTGGATTCATGATATTGGTACAGATGCATAAATAATATTTCAATCTAGTCACAGAATTTCAGAATTTTTATAAACGGAATAATCGGTAGTTCCCTTTTATCAATGATGGAACTAGTTCAAAGGGGTAAATTACTTACTCAGAATCACAAAAAGCAATAAAGCTAGAAAATTTTCAAGAGTCCTAATTCCATGTCCAGTTTTCTCATCATCATGCACCCTATCTTCCCTCAACTTTCTTCTAAAAGCGTATAAAAATAATACTATATTATGTTTACATGTGCCAAATTTTGAGTAGCAAAATGTAGTTTGCAAAATGTAGCAATCTATAAATACTAGTATTATCCTCAATTTATAGACACAGAAGCTGAGACATAATGAGGTAACATAATTTGTCCTAGTTCACAAAGCCATTGAGTATGAGAGCTGAGATTCAAATCGAGACAGTATGGCTCCAAAAATTGTCATAGATGTTTAACAATCTGCGTTTTAAATAAATATTTACAGATTGCCCTTTCTCTCTCTGCCCGCCTTCCTCTCCCTCTTGGGGGCACAGAATAGCATTAATCATAATCCTTGACACATGACACACTTTCATTTTTGGTCCATAAATGACCACTTTTATTTGTTTAATTACTTTTAATTTTCTTGAATATAGCCTCTTTTTTGTTGTTGTTTCTTCCCTTTGCATTGTTAACTGTTAGACTATCTGTGCTTCACTTTGGTTTTGTTT